ATATATTTAAGGCAATGTACTTAAGAAAAAATTATTGCATGTTGATCTGTAGAATTCAGCCGTCTGGCACAGAATGAAACAATCACAATCATCTACAATAAACTGGATTATCGCTGGTGCTGCTTTCCACCCAGTCATGAGATATAGACAGTGGTACCATCCATGCATTACAGGGAAAGGAGCCGACTTGGTAGTGAATGAGAGAGCAGCACATGATCACCTCGGACGGCACAGGGGAGAGACACGGTCTGCTTGGTTAAGTTGTTCAGTGATACCTCCAGTTCACCAACAGCTGTGACCAGATCCAGGAACTGTACTGTTTACTGGAGGCACTTGTCTTATCAAAGGGCAAACGTGTCATAATTCAGAACCCCGAGGAGATACTGTACTGGTCAGCGCGATTTTCCATTGACAGGTCCATCTGAGTCTTATACCAAGATATTGATAATGTACTGGTATTCAAATTGCCACACAAAGCCTTCACATGCCCCTGCAGGTTAGAAATGACAGTCCATAAACTGGAATCCTGTGTCAGAATTGAGCTCCAGGGAGATCTCAGCGGGTTAGTCGCAAAAGCATCTCCTGATCCCATTCTGTTCAGAATATTCTGGCAACCGATCTTGCCAACATAAGATTATTATCCACTACCTGATGGAAGATTTTACCCAATAACACAGACGTCCTTGCAATGCTAAAATTCCTTTTATATATGCCACATCATCTATTGCGGGATAAATATAATTACTATAAGCAATTTGGTGCAGAAATAAGCACATCATGACCCTGAACTGTGGGCAGATGACAAACTCATTTATAATCTGATCATATCGGGCACTGCCCTGCTGAGAGTGCCTGGCATTCCGAACACGGCTCATTCTGACATTTCGTATATAATCACATGTGACAATCATAAGTCACTCATTCCTTGGTTGTTGTGCCACCCTTACACCGTTCCCACGTATTAAAGACAGAAAAAGATCTTCATAAATGCTTTTGATAAGAATAAACTTTTCTATGCGAACTACATGCGCTGCATTTTAAAAATGGTTTCCATACAAAACGCCGCACAGTTAAATTCAAACAGCACTTATTTTCTTTTACCGAGAGCAATAAAGAACACCGCGAGAATGCATTAATAAAACAAAATATCTTAATGAAGGCTATAAAATTCCAATAAATAACATGGTGAACAAATCTGAAAGTCATCTCTATGAAGATCTTTTTAAGGACCAAAGGAAAACTAGAATATGTTATTTAAAAATTATTTTGCTGTGGGCTATTTTTTCCTGCATGTTTCTTTTGATTTCATATTTCACATGATTATGTTTAGTTTGCTTTTTATGTTTCGGTAATTAACTTACCAAAAATGAAATACTTCATTTTACTAATAGCTGAAACCCAGCTAATATCTATTATAGCAAATATAGCCTCTCCTCAGGTTATGATGGGGTTACGTTCCAATAAACCTATCGTAAGGCGAAAATATCGTAAGGCGAAAATGCATTTTAATACAACACACCCAACCTCAAAAACGTCATAGCCTAGCCTAGGCTAGCCTACCTTAAACATGTCTAGAACATTTACATTAGCCTACAGCTAGGAAAAATCATTAACACAAAGCCAAATTTATATAAAAAAAATGTATCTCATGTTGAATTTGTTGAATAATGTACTGAAAGTGAAAAACACTTATCCATCATAAAGTCAAAATATCGTAACACAGAATGCCATAACCCGGCAAGTGTCTGTAGGCCTATATAAAACACACTGGAGCACAAATTAAATGACCCCATTGACCAGGAGAAGTGGTTGGATAATGGATGGATGGATGGATGGATGGATCGATCCAATTTATGTAAACAGTGAGAAGCTTTAGAGAAACACTTGAGATTCAGTGTTACTTGTTACTTAAATAACAGAAAAGTGTAATGTGTGAGAATGTAAGTCTTCCACCTGAATTTGTTATTTAAATGGTACCCAGTCAAAATGAGGAATGTCTTTCTTGTCTTTACCATTTCATCAAGGGTTAAAAACAAACTTTCTTTCTTTCAAATATTACCATATATCATTTATGTTTTTTTTGCAATACTGAAAGTTAGATATTGCAAAACTGTAATAGTTATTAATACATGTAAAGAAGCTAACATTCAAATTATACTATGATAATTACGTTGGCCCAAAGCTCAGAATTATGCATACTTTTTCATGTTTTCATATGACGTACAGCACTGTGCATATTTCTCAGGCAGTCATAGGAAATGTGTAAAGCTATTTATCTGGGCAGTAAGTGTATGTTTGCTCAGAACAAAAACACCATTTAACCTGAGAGCACATATGAATTAAGACTAACACAATAAAAACAAACAGGAATTTCTTCTGTTCTCCTGACAGTCACTGATATCTTGCTGGATGGCTAGAACAACACTGTATCAGTTCCCAAACCTCTCATCGGGGACACCTCAGGAATCTCATGCATTTGTCAAATTTCACCACCAGTTTGTTTAATTAATTTGTTTAATTAGTTGAAAAATCAGTGAGGTGTTGATTACCTGAACATATATGCTAGTGGTCAAGTCATAAAATACATTGATGTATTGGATGGCTACTGCAAATACGGGGGTGATTTTAGCAGAGGTTTTAAAATGGTTAAGCTGACACACAGTGACAGACATAAAATCATAGTTTTGCACAACAAGAACATCATTTAAACATCATTTTCCTTGACTGCCTAAGACTTTTGCACAGTACTGTGTATATTTCTTGCATAGAAACCATTGTTTTGTATTATGCTTGAGTTCCATCCATCCATGAAATAACTGCATATTACAGGCCAGGTCACACTGGGGTACAGGACACAAAGCTAAGCTACACCCTAGCAGACACACTAGTGCTAAGGGAAGGATTCAGATCCCAGTTCTAGAGGTACCCGGATGCAGTGCTACCCCATGAGTAGAATTTAAAGTAGAATTTAAGAAGCAAAATCTCCCAAGGTCATTCCAGAACATTCTGAACCAGGGTGGTCTCATTTACGGAAGCTCTGTCGATGTGTGTTAATAAGTTTTGGGGTCATAATGGGGGTTGAATCTTTTAATGCATTTTTGACATCAGTTCTGAGCCAGACCAGAAGCCGGTAAAGGGACACAAAAATTAGTGTAATGAAACATTTTTCAGGTGCAATCTGGGCAGCATCATTTCAGATAATTTACAGAGTAGGTGAATATGACTCAAACTCCGTGTAATTGTCAGAGTCTGCTGCATACGCATGTCGTATTTAGAAAGGGGGCACAAGCATAATTAAGATTAGCACTGAACTTTAAATGGATAAAGTTAATTATAACATGATGGAGACTATGCACTTTAAGGACATGACTGGAATAAGTATAGTTAGCAGAGTTAGCATTCTGGGAGCTGTAGCTGGTCAACCGTAACATTTCCTGCTATACGGGGAAACTGCAATGATACCTGCAAATCCTCACAATTTAGCCCTTCTCAATGGGCCACAACAGGCACTTAGCCACATAGTAGAAAAGCGAGTCTGATTTCACTGATTTGATTGGCACCCCACCCTGCCCCGTCCGGAGAAAGCTGGAGCAAGGGACATGTGCAAAATTTATTTCTAGCTATTGATTTGGACCACAACCATAGTTAAAACTAAGCAACTCAACATGCAAAAAACATTATAAGAAATATTCATTCTTATCCTCTACAAACCAGAGTTAACCTGGATGTAAAACTTCTTAAATTGCAGTTCCTACAACCATATTTCATTTCCATGACTCTGAATACCACATTGGATGCAGGTCATATAAATCCACTCTCTTACATGCTGAACCTTAGTATGGATGTGCTTAGAAAATGTCAGTCAGCACCAGGATTCTCTCACATACTACAGATACTGCAAGCTGACAGGTAAATACACACACACACACACACACACATTTCTAAATAAAAAGGTGTACTGAAACACAATAACCTGTACTCTATTTGGCCCTGAAATGTTCCAGGCGCATTACATAAACTAAATGGCAGTGTATTAAACTCGAACAAACCGCATAGAGCTCCACTTTAGGCATGTGTTTTTGGTCACCTCTGTTGGATGTAATTTAATGGTGAGAACCTCTTAACTTCAATCAGGGCATCCAGAAACTCTCAGCTGTGTTATTAACACACCGTCTGAATTCACATCTAATCACCAGCTATTTCTCCCTTCCTGCTCTTACTTTCTTCCTTATCCATCCAAAACCATAAGCACTGTATCTCTAATGAATTATATTTTTCTCCAGAATAACATCATTGACAGAAAACAAATACACAGTATATATTAGACACTAATGGGATTATACTTATTATTACTGTCCATTACTTATGACCCAGAATACTCAGACCCTACTCATACCCTAGATAGGTATCAAAGATGTACATCGTGCTGTATCTGTCAGGTCTTACAAGATGGTCTAGCATGGTGCTTATTTGTACTTCAGAGCAGATTTTACTCATGTCTTACAGTATCATGTTGCTACCAATTTAACATCCAAATACCCAGAAAATCCAACCTGTTAAAAGTAATGGAGAGTAGTTAGACTTTACTGGAAGGCTAGTGGATGTTTACAATACCCTATGCAGTTTTATCAAACCAATATGAACAAAATGTGGAAACTAGACTAATATACTATTATACAAGCAATTTAATTTCAAGCAAGCAATTTAAAACATACCTATGTGGACAAAAGCATTGGGACACTAAGCCCAACATCTCACTCTGCACTGTTAACCCAAAAGTTCTTTCTATGCAAACAGTTTGAGGAAATGTCACTATAAAGAATTAGTTTTGCTGCATTACTTAAACAGTATGAGTATATGAAGAGTGTATGAGACAGTCATTGGGTGTATTCATTTTTATAAGTTTAACTAACTTAAACCATCAAGTTTTACCTCAGGCCACAGTGCAGCCTGATTGGCTGAAAACTCAAGACAAGTCTGTGCTTGTCTGTTGGAGAATACAGAGAAAGTTGTGCCATTTTCTTATTTTCACAGAGCAATTTAAGGTTTTTGCACTTTGCATGCTCCTTGGACAATACATTTTCTGCCTACATTTGTCTGTTTTTCTCAAGTTTGGACCCTTTTAAAGGAATTTTGCGTGCAGTAAAGAGGCTACCATTTTCTGTGTGAACAAGGTAAGTTGTTTTCTCTATTCAAATACTACTAATTAGAAACTGTTGGAACTGATGTAGTTTGAAACGCGCATTTGAATGTATGTAAATTTGAGGTTGTCTTAAGTGAATAGTGAGCATTTGATAATTGCAGCATTCTGTTCCCTACATACAATTTTGCAAAAGTAATGTAGAATTCAAATTATTTCAATGTATGTTTGAAAAAGTAAATGGCCATTTTTTTTGGACTACTAGTTATGTTTAAAGCCACATTAAAATGCTTTGGAAATGCAAGTACTGCCCTGCCATCTGCGAGAAGACAGCACAGCTTTTTAAACATTACAGGCTAAAACATGGAACTTGTGCAAGAACTGAGCCCTTTCCTTGCTTGCATCAGGAATGTATGTCTACATTCAAGTCTCTCAATGCACTCCATAGCCATTTATCCCACTTTCACACCAGAAGCACTTATCAACCGCAAGCTGTAGATGCTCAAATTAAGTTTTGCTGTTTGTCATGTGAATTTCTTGAACCCTGCACTGAAATGGAATACTTTGCGGAATATCCACATAAAAATAAATCACAAAGTAGATTGTCCTTATAAAGATTGTAAATTTCAGTGCAGTGTATACTCCACTTTCAATGCACACAAAAGTAAAACACATAGAGGGAATACTTGGAAGAATTTCAAGTCTGAAACAATTGCCAGTATAACCAGTGATGCTTGTGATAAAGTGGCCCATGAAAGTCAAGGTGAATTACAACAGCTGTCAACTTCTGACACAGAAGACCTAGAGGTCATGGAAGAAGCCTGCCATGATCTTTGTGGTTTAGGAAAACAGCTTGAACATAATCTAGCATCTCTGTTATTGAAAATGCAAACTATACTGCATATCCCAGAGAGTGCAGTACAGGAAGGGATTCAACACCTTTGCCCAATACATCTGTTACAACCATCACTGTACAGTAATATCAAGTCAGTACTTAAGAAATATTATCCAAATGTGGATGAAGTAGTTATAAAAGAGATCATCTGTGCTGTTTCAGAAAGTAATGTGATGACATCATTGTGTGGCAAACGTGGATCTCTAGGAACTGTACAAAGGAGGGCAGCCTATGTGAGGAATAAGTTTACCCTGGTGATGCCTATAGAATATGTTGTTGAAAAAGGCACAAAAACAGTTGTATATGTTCCCAAACAACACATGCTACAGAAACTGTTAAAGAAAAGCGACATTTTAGATAAAGCCACGTCAGAAAAGGTGCATGTTCCAAATGGATATAGTTCATTTGCAAATGGAGAGCACTTTAAGGAAAATCGCCTTCTTTCAATGGATCAGTTCACAGTTGCACTGATTCTTTATCTAGATGACTTTGAAGTAGCCAATCCTTTGGGAACATCAAAGCAGAAACACAAAATGTGTGCAGTGTATTGGGTTATTGCTGATATACCTGCAAAATACAGATCAGCACTAAATTCTATTCAGCTTGCTCTACTCTGCAACACCTCACATGTCCCGACATGTTAGAGACCTATACACCTATACATGAACACACACAAAATGGCTCTAACAGCTCGTTTACAGTACCTAAAATAAAACCACATTGAATTATAAAAATCATAATATTAAATAATTCTATACAGCTGATTGTAGACAAATTGCTGTTAACCTGAATATCATCTTTTTGTCTTGTTTCTTGCACTATGTAGATTCTTACTGAGGGAGACTCCGTGGACATCCCAGTGGGAATCCTCTGCTATGAGGACAGCAGAGCTGCAGGCCCAGCATGGCCACAACTCAACCCCTCAAGAGTGGGCATCACCCTAGAGGGTAGGCCTGCAACGGAAGCCCTCACCAACCTACATCAAGCGATGTGCCTCTTGTTTGGCTTGACCTACCCACTCCACCCGCAGTACCCGAAGCGTGTGAAAAACACTTTTTTCCTTCATTCAGCAGGTAATGCTAAGTGAAGTGAGCTACCTCCAAAAGTTCAGAAGCTGAAGAATGAGCTTGCAGTGTAATACACATTTATGCTTCTGGCACAGCTCTTCATGTCTGTGTCTGGATTGTTGCACAATTACTTTGCACTGACTAGAGCAAACAGTCTTGCAGTTGTTCATTTTGTATGTGATTCTTCTTGTGCTAGATGTGTCTAGTATTGTTTTTTTTAATTATTCTACAGAGGGCACATTTTAGAAACATTGCCGTTTTTTTTTTTTACCAACTCTGATCCTCACTGCATAGTCGTTCATAAGGCTGGTGTTCTTAATGCCTGCTTTGCTGTGTGGTACACAAAGCATACAATTTTTTTCTTTTGCACTTGCAGTATATGCTGCTACTGCATGGTCAGTATAAGCTGATTGGTCTTTTTTTTTCTTAAATTTGAAAAAAAACAATTAAAAAACTGTGCTCTGATTGTATTTAGATTGAAATCGTTTCACATTTCAATACACATGTTCTATTTGCAGCATCATAGAAAGGTACTGTAGTAAAGTAATTTATGCAGAAAAAAGTAAGGACATGATGTTTTAACTGTAGGCAAAAACCCATTAATCACTGTTATTTTGGATTTTGGTATTTCACACAGAGCATCATTGTTAACACATATTTGTTGGTTTGTTGTGTGTTTCAGTAAAATAAATGAAAAGTACTGCATTGTGTGGTCATTGACAAAAGAATTTAATTGGGATTTTCTTATCCCAAATATTTTACTTTTAATATATTCATATTTTAATAAAACTAGGAATTTAAGTGTATTTGACTTATAATATTAAGTTCTGACTATTGTACTTTTAAGTAGCCTCCAATTTTCTTTTCTATTGCTGATTACTTAAAACATAAACGTGTATATAACAAAAAAAATGTTAAATTCTGACCATTGTACATTTAAGTTGAATGTACTTTGAGAAATTAATTTTTTCTACTGTCAATAACTTAAACCATTTGAGGCAATCACTTGACGAAAATGGTTTAAGTACAACCAACTTATCCGGGTTTACAGTGTGAATCAAATGGTTTTAATATGAAGTAGGTTCACCCTTAGTTGCTATAACAGCTTGTACTCTCCTGGGAAGGCTTTCCATTAGATGATAGAACATTGCTGGTGGGATTCACTGCCGTTCAGGTTGGGTATTAATGTTGGGTCCCTTTCTGTGTGTCCGAGTGGCTGTCATTTCATAGCTGAACTTGCTCCCAGATGTTTCCACTTCACAATCACTTCACTTGCGATTGACCAGGGCACCTCTTGCAGGACAGAAATGTGGAGAACAGACTTGTTGGAAAGGTGCCCGATGGCGTCCAATGATGGTGCTCGGCTGACCGACCTTCTCTGTATGACCCCCCCAATCCGCTGCCATTGTTTGATGCTGCAGATTGCATGTCTGTGTGCTTAATTACACACCTGTATGTCAACAATGGGTGTGACTTATGTGGCTAATTCCCGTAATTACTATGGGTGTTCCAATGCTTTTCTTCATATAATGTATATAGTCAAGCAACTCAAAACACACAATTATTTTGAATGCTCACAATATAAAATTTGAATAGAATTCTTTCAGAAGAATAAACAATGATTGAGGCCTTGATAGCTTCGAAGAACTAAACATACACTGCAGAAAATGGGCTTGATTATATTACCAAACGTAGTAATACTGTTGTGTAATACTTGTTCTTGTTGAAGGTCCACATTTTGAGTTTGTTGTGGCCGTCAGCATGTAATGTTGGATTTCTATGATTTATGATCTTTGTTGTGCCATGAGAGGAAGGTTAAAAGTCTGTCATGAGCACCTTCAGGAATGTTGTCATAATAGTAACGGTTCATTAGGTTGCATCTGAGAACGCTTTGTGGGAAAAGACTGTACCTTACTCTCTCCAGTTGAAGAGCAAACAAGGTACTGGCTTCACGGGAAGAAATTAACAAAAGACTGATGTCTGAGCCTGAACTGAGGGAGACGATCTCATGGGAGGAGACAGTATGACCTGTGGCTGGCCTCAAACATGTACCAGAGGTATTCATGTTTAGTCATGATCAAGGGAAATGCGGGACGAATCAATGTTAGTCAGCCTAGGCAGCTGAGAGTAACAGCTGGACGCCATGTAAATAAAATTAAAAATACAAGCGTTGTTTTATTTTCACTTTAGACTAATTACTGTTTTATCTCAATGTAAAAAATATTCTTAAAATGTAAAAAGTTATAAAAGTTTTGGTGCATCTGAACTGTAATATAATCTGTGTTCCTAATGATGATGAATCAGAGTTTCGGGACCATCTAGAGCTGCAGTACAATTTGCTTTGCATTCATTTTAAACAGGAGGCCTCTTGTGTGTCAGCCCAAGACAAATGCCTGAGGGGAAGAGAAAGCAATTTGAACACTTTTATAAACAGCTTGGTTATTGCAGTGTTTGGATGTTTCCCGCTTTGATGTCATGAAAATGTGTCAGTTCCTGGCATTTTTCCTGGACGCCTCTGCCTCAGTTCTTAACGTTACGGACAGGTTGAGTCGTACTTAAAGGGATCCCAGTGAATGAAGCCCTGGATAAATGCAGGAACATTGGTGGTATCGATGGGTCACTTTTGTTGAAAGACACCGTGACGACGGATGTGTGTGGGACAATTAGCAAATGTGGATAAACCAAATTAACACTCAACATGTACACCCTGCTTTCAAACGTATGGCTGGTTTTATTTATATTTCCATCCATCCATCTATTAATCCATCCATACATTCGTCTTGCAGATGCTTATCCACTACAGCAGGGGTGGGGAACCTGATCCATTGAGCGCCAGTGTGGATGAGGGTTTTTGGGATGACCTCTCAATCAGCCAATAATAAAGCAGTGGTTCTCGACTCCAGTCCTGGGGACCCACTGTCATTGGCTGATTGAGAGGCCATCCCAAAAACCCAACACCAACACTGGCGCTCCATGGATCAGGTTCCCATCCCTGCACAACAGCGTTGCACAGTAAATTAGATTAACATTATTATCACTACTTTTCTAGGAAGGAGTGTATAAGATTAAGGTGAAACATATTTTAATTTTACCTAGATAGGAATGGCGTTTTGAATGGGAAGGTTAATTATTGGTAAAGCAGAAAGGTTGATCTCACAACTGTGTTAATGTTCCTCTCCTGTTCAGCCACCAGTCTGGATGAATACTGCACCAGGTTATATCACTGCTATCACATCTTGAAGACATTTGAGGGCTTGGCAGCCAGTAGTGATCTATTTGTTTTTAATTACATCTCTCATCCATGTTTAATCGCTTCCTAGAACAGTGTTTCCCAATCCGCTCCTGCTTCCAAGCTCCTTACCAAACAGTTCACGCTACCGGGAGCTGGGAGGTAGTAGAAACGTGGACCGTCTGGGGGTCCCCAAGGACCGGACTGAGAAACACTGGCCTAGAATATCCGAGAACCAGTTTTATAACCCTTTTTAAAGAACTGAATAATTATACAAACATTCACAGGAAGAGTTCTTGAGGGATGCTCAATGAGATTACACTGGTTTATTGCAGACTGAGCTGTTACAGGTGAATACTACCGGGCAAGAAACGACAGGGGTCCCACAATGCAGCATAATGTGTCATATTTGCCATGGCCAGAACAAAGCAGACATCCATCGAGAAAAGTGGACAGAAAAATCTGCTTTGTTCACTGATTCCAAACCGATGAGCATCTTAGTGAACAATCTCTACACTGCTGCTAAAGAACTGGAAACTAGGTTAACCTTACAGCACGAAAACCATCACCTACGCCATGGCTGGAAACAACGCGTCGTTTGCCGACTTCCTAGTCATTAACTGAGGAAGCGATTAATCTTGACAAGAGTTCGATTACAGACATTCTTTTAATGCTTCCTCCCCGTCTGAAAAAAGCAGAGAGCCACTCAGGGGCAGTGACGAAGCTCCGGTCAGGTGTGAGTTCGCAGCCCTGATCCAGGCAAAGGCTTCGTTATCACACTGCTTGATGACAGAATCTTTCAAGCCGCATAAATCAATTTTAATACCAGCCAGCTGCCTCGTGGGCATGTAACTGTCTCTATGTCAGGTTCAGGCCCATCTCTCTGCAACCTCCAGGTAATTAGGGAGATTGGCCTCACTTCAAAAAGACAGATCATTGTATCAGATCCTTTGATGGCGCCACACTCTCATCTGTCCGCATGGTATGTGACTTATTAAAGAAAAAAGAGGCAGTTCAGAGGCAAAGAAAGAGAAGCTTGACAGAAAAAATGGAGGCAACACAGAGTATAAATATGTAAAAACAAAAACACTCTGGGAAATACACAGGGACTTTTTGGCTTTTATATATTTATTGATTCTTGTTGAAAAAATCTTACATCTGTTGCACAAATAGCTTGTTCTTTTTTCGATCTGACAATTTTGAAACTAATATTCAAAGTAAGAATGTCCAGGTAGCCCCCCCCAACCCCCCCGTTCTGTGTTTTATTATCTATCTCCTCAGAGGGCTGAAATGGGAATGATCCTTCGATTTTATCGTGTCTGTTCTGCAGGAGTATAAATGGTAGCCGGAACAAAAGATCGTTTTGATTTTCCTTTCCCTTCCAAATTATCTGTGGATATTTTGTTAGTTTTTCCATACGTCTTTCAAGTTTGGACTCGTTTGACAAAGAGTGTTCAAGACTTAATATGAATTAATATGATAATAAGTCAGAAAAAAAAGTGTTTTCTGTACATACAGTTATTGTGCTTCAAGCAATAAGTCTTGTAATGTTATTGTAGTGTGTCACAAAGCTAGACTTAACTGGCATGAAAGATGTAGTTTTAGTACAGTTATTAAAGTACTAATTTAATGTAGAAAGTGACAAATTGACAGCCACCGGTTATTGACAAAGAATGATTCTCTTCCAATTGACTTCTTGTTGCTTATAAGGCTGCCTGTAAAACCTCAGTGGAACATAGAACCTGAACATTGTCAATACCACGTTACAGCACTTCACCTTTTTCCATGTCAGGCCACGGCTGGTGATTTTTTTATAAACCTAAATTACAATTATAAACTGAATATAAATATAAATATAAAACTATATTTTTTTGCTCCTTTCAGCCTGTAGAAGAGTCCGGCCCCTCCCTCGCTAGTACCCCCAATCACAGAGAAGTTATATATGGCTAAGTCTCTGTGTGGCTTTTCCGTAATGTCACGGTCAGTTGGTCTGGCGTTTCCGCTATAGAAATTTCACACTGTAAATCTTACATTAACAAACAGACTCTTGTTTTCTCTTCGGATGAAAAAAGGTTACCTACCTTGAGGATATAGGATTATTATATAGCGAATCAGTAATATTTATATATTATATAAATGTCTGGCTTTGACGGCTGCATTTCGTGATGAATTACCAGCTTGCATTGTACCGAATCAAATTGACAGAAAATGTTGTGCTGGCTCTTCTCATCCAGAAATGCTGTGAATATTAAACACAGCACAGCAAAGTGATGACGATCGCACGGTGTGACACTCCACAGTCGAGCATTCGCCGTATGAATGCATTGGTATCGGTATTTTTTGTACATTAATTTTAATGATGCAGAAAAAAAACAAGGAGCAGTTTAATGCAATAATCTTCTTTTAATTAATGTAATGATTCTTCAGAAAGGTAACTATAGCAGTTTTTGGCTATAGTGGAAATCAGACAA